ACGTTAATACCAGATTCACACGCGAACCACTTGAAACCGCGATGCGCTGCAAATTTTCGGTTAAGTAGAACTGGAACGTGTTACTTTGCTGTAGATGTTCCCGTTGCGTCTGTATTCAAATGTCATCGATTTCGGGGTCGTGCCGATACCGTTGGCTGGCATGCCGAACCTTTGGCAGATCGAGTAAATCGTTATCGATCGTGACATCTGTTTATGACATTTGTTTTACGTTAAACATATCGATCTATTTGTTAGCATAAACAATCGCGTAAAATTATATTCATCGAATAGTATGATAAATCTCGAACAGTAAGATATCGCCCACATGTTTTTAACTAAAAATATATTGTAATTATAATAATATAGAGTTGCTTCTAGTAAAGAATTCTACAACTTCGTTAAATTTGTATCTTTTAAAGAAATCGTCTGTTGCATTTATTAAGATTGGCTCGATTTAACAAAAAATAATCACGAAAAATTATGTCTAGAAGAAAACATCTTAAAATCTCATAAAATTTTTTTGAATCACAGTAAAAAAGTAATATAGTATAATATTGCATAATTACAGTAGTAACATAAAAATAATATAGTATATATAAATACTGTATATAATATATACAATTATACATATATTGTATAATAAAAATAATATAGTATAATTCAAATAATAATGACGTATTTTACAAAAATCTACACGCTCGTAATTAAAGGGAGACAAAACAAATGTGATTTGTCAATCTTATTGATTGAAATTCAAAAGAAAAAGAAAGTATAATCGCATAAAAGGAGAAAAAGTGAACATGGATGTAAACGTGTAATATACATAGACAAGATTCGGTCGAGATTTAGCCATTAAAACTAATTGTGGTATTACGGGAGCAGAACGGTGATTCAAGCGATTTCACGTTCCGCTGCCGAATTATTATTCAATTTGGAATGCAGCATCGTCGGTTCAATAATCGTTCGTTGTTTCAGCGGCTCAATTACAACATTAATATCTCCGAAGGATTATGTGAAGCGGTATATACACGAGTCCGCCGTGGGAGCCCACTTTAAATGAAATTCCATTGAACCCCTCCGAGCAATTTTGTTAATATTTTACAATACCTTTGAAACCGGTCCGCTCGTCCACCAATTATCTAAATTGAATCTTCCGGCCGGACCTCCTTTGACGTTCGTGGCCAGCCAAACAGAATAACCTTAAACTACAGTCTCCTATATCCCCGATGAATGTTGTTAATAAATCCTCCAACGGGTACCTCGTGGTTTTTCGAGTCGATTGATGAAATCTCCAGATTTCTACGCGACGAGCAATCTTAGCATTTTGCCTATCGGGGTCTTATTAACATTTTCACTGCCACGTCGACAACTTCAAAAATTGTATAAAATCGAAGCAGCATATTGAAAATGATTAACGAATTGAAAAGTTAATTTGTATGACGTCGATTACTTTTTCAACATTCATACGTTCTAGTGACAGGGAGATAATAATTAGGAATATAATAATATAATATAATAATATAAAAAATAATATATAATAATTAGGAAGATAATAATAGCGTAAGCATTCAGACCTGGGTGAAAATATTTGAAAAAGTATTGAAAATAGTTAATAAAATACTCTTGTATGTACGAAATAATATTTCAAGATTCATTTGACGTCATAGAGATAAGAATTCATTTTCTATTCTGACCAAAAATAATTTTGTCATCCACGAATCAGTGACACGAGAGTCAAACTGTGACGTCCAAAAATAATTTCTTCTCGATCTGAAAATGATTCTTCCTTCGTCTGAAAATTATTTCTTCTTCGTCCGCAAATGTCTTGACGATATATGCTTCAATTTGGGATCTCGGTTCACGCGATTGGATCGTTCCATCGCATAAAGATATCAAAAGAGAACGTTGGCTATCATAATAATTTAATAACAACGTTTTCAATCGGAACATTTTGCTCCCAGGTTTCCAAAAATATTTGACTTCGATAACTCGATCGTCGTTTCATACCTATATCGTATTCAATAATTTCAAGAATTTAACGAGCCCCGGCGCATGATTAATTTTTTTCTCTGAATTTGAAATTCCATTTCCAGCCAATTGGATTATTTCGTTTTTATGAAAACGGCGAACGGAAATATCGGACATCGTTACAATTAGTTGGTAAGGTTTCTAGCCAAAATGTTTTGCATCTCGTTTGCTCAAATATTTTGGACAACGATCGATCTTCTCGACCAAAAATTTATTGAACGTTTTTTCTTCGGTACCGCTGAAGAAAACTGCGAATTTACAGAAAGTACAATAAATAAAAATTCAAAGTAATAGTACTTCGTACAACGTTACGAAAAGAAAAAAATATTACTTAGAAGCATAACTAATTATTATTAGTTGTGCAAAAATTAATTGTCTGACATAATTACGCATTAACTGAGCTTAGACACGCATAACGATATAGTTACAAAACGAGTATGATTTTATAACGATATAGTCACAAAACAAGTATAATTTTATTATATAAAAATTTACAATTTTTGAGATAATAGTAATGTCCCGTTCATGGTAGCTCTACCCTAATTCTGACAATAAACTTCCTCGAACCGGTGTATCGGTTTTGTTTGGTTAAATGGTACTTCGTGCGACCATTATAGTCGCCTGTACTGTCTTTTACATGAACGACAAATTTATGGCCGGAGCGTAGCCAATGGCGTCGCGATCGAACTCGACTATCAGGATGCACTGAAATTAACGAGACCAATGTACCGTAAACGCCCAGAGACTTCGACGGGAACCTCTTAGCCGGTTACGAGCCGACTTAGGTTGCGCGATTAGAAGACGTAACGCTGCCGAACATTGCGCCGTGTTTCAACCCAATGGATGACGCGTTAAAAACGGGTTCAGCATTGGGGATGGTTTACGAGAGGTTTATCGAGGTAACGGCGCCTGTAGTTAAATAGAGTCGGCGTACCAACCGGACGTTTCAGAAATTCGAAAATTGCTGGGCCTCTTAAGCGGAGTACCTTGTCGAAAGAAACTTCATCGAAGTCGAAGTAAAGTCGGAGATTACGATGAAGAAGCCTCTTCCATCGAGTTCGGTGATCGACGTAAAGATCGAGAGAACATTGATCGGATAAGGTCGAGAACTAAGTTTGCGAAGAAGAAAAGTAAGAGATCGTACTAAGTGCAAGAGTAATATATGCGCATGCGTATATAATAAATTTATAATATAATATAAGTTTTTAGAGCTTCTTCGAGGAATAATAATAATTCGTTAAAATACAAATATATTTTGAAATAAATCAACATCCGTTGTTATGAAATTTATTAGTAATAAATCCTAGCTACGATTGTAAAAAACCATTTGGCTAACATTTGCTGTGATTTTCGCAGTTACATAATTTTTAATAATTCCGATTTCGTTGGTTTTTCTTGTTGTTCGTATTACGATGTAAGAAGCATTCACGGTACACAGATAATTATCGAGTAGTCCGCATTTCATCGGCGAATACTTTCGTTCCGGTGAACGGCTGTCGAATTTACATCTCCTTCGACCGAGTATTCGTGGTTTCCGCCATAGAGACAAGCACGTAGCCGCGCGCTATTTCAGGAATTCGAATAATCCGAACGAGAGACCTAGACCCGATGGAGCCGCATGATTTATCACTCTCACATTTCTCTTTTATCTCGATATTAATACCGGAGGCTTCTTAATAATGTCGGCGACCGAAGCAATTAGAATTTTAATTTCACCCTCATGTAAATCGGTCGAGTCCTCTGCTCGTCCCTTTTCCGCCGGACAGACTTTATGAGCACACTCTCGGTGCACTAAAAATTTTATGGCGCACCGTATACTACGGAACCGCGCAAAGAAGCGAAATAATTCTATTCTTTTAGCACGCAGCAAGCAATTTTTGCGCGACGAACGTGGCTGCCGCATTACGTTCTACGCATTTGTTCAAATAAATATCGATTCGAGTTACAATATTTAAATCGATAGGAATTTAACTGGTGATTTAAAGTTATTTTATCATTTATATCAGATATATATATTTAAGAAAATATCACATTTGGTATAATAAAACAAAATATTCGGTATAATTAATTATTTCATTTTTATTATATGAATTTTGGTTTACTTGCCGGACTAAATTTTTTATTAGGATCTCCGGTCTGTTCAGTAATAACTATACTTCGGATCTTCCATGTATTTTTGGGATGTGCAAATTTTTCAAATGCACAAAAACGTATAAATTAGCAAGATCTAATAGTATTTGTATTTTATGTTAATTTTTGTGAAACAGCACGTTAAAGTAATAGTTTACATAACAATCTACTTTTACTAAACTAACGACAAAACGTCTAACGAGGCGAGGAATTCATTGCACAAGATATTTGGAGGATTAAAGTGTGCCTATTGTTCCCTTGGCATATATCATTCTTTTTTGCTTTCTTCTTTTCATGTTTCTCTTGGTTTTTTTCTCTTGTATATATTCGCTCGCCGTGTCCCTAATATCTTTTTATTGAAGTCCTTGGCAATCTCTTGTATCTCCTTCAGTCTTTATGTAAGCTGTTCATGTAAGCACGATGCCTTCTTTATTACCGTAACTAAGCCAAGTAAATTATTTAGATAAAGTTTATTTTCTTTTTAATAAATAAAACTTTCATTTCCTAGTACCCTCGTTTATTTAAATTCGTAATTATCTTTTATCACTTTTTTTTCTAAAAATACCTTACCATCATCGTGCAACATAAAAGTACAATATAAAATTCTGTAACATTTTTTCATGAATTTTATACGAATAAAAAGTTCCACTGTTAATGGAAAAATAAATTTTACAGTCGTAGTTTATAATAATAACATTAGCCACGGTAAACGTTTATCGAATAATACGACTAGTATTATTGCAAAATATTATTTAGTAATATTATCGAAAAATTGTTCTGAAACCGAGAGGGTTAATGGTCGTGGCCCAATCACGAGATTCCATTCCGTTTTCCAATTACAGTGGAGCGAAGACGGCGGCTGCGATGAGCGGCTAAGGTGGATCCGCGGGGTCGAGGAATCGAGCCGAAGATTTCCATGCACGAGCCGAGCCACCCAGGAATCCCATGGTCGAGAGGAGAGGCGAAGCATGACGTAGCCGTCGACAAGGGGGGCGCTTCGGATGCTCCGAGCTGCCGATTAGGGTCGTATGGAGGGGACGGACGCAATCACCACGGAAGGCACCCTGCTTCTGAACCTGACGACCATCGCCACGCAAGACGTCGACGGCTTCTTCCGAGGTTTTCCCGGCAAAAACTCACCCTACACGGCCGCGCAGGTAAGATTGATGACCGGTGTGTGTACCGAGGCGCCCGTTATTTCAGCCACCGTGACGCCCCAAACTTCGTTTACTTCCCGGTTCCCCCACGGGATCGCACGGAGTCTTTTAATCTGCCGGCCCGCGCAGCCGTATCCATTAGCACGAACTTAATAACTCGCGGACCATAATATCCCATCGGTCCGTAATGCAATCACTCGCTGCTACTTCTCGGCTTCTGTCGCTGAGAGCACAATACGCCACGTGGGACCTAACCGCGACAAAATGGCTCCTACGTTCCCGGAGAGTGGACGGATTAACCGTGGCTCTTCGCTCATCGGTTGTGTTTCACTCGTTCGTATTATTACTATTATTATTATTATTTTGGTTTACCGATTTGGTTATCCGGTTGACTACCATCCGTGCCTCGTCGACAGTGCCGAACACTAGGATAAGGATCCCAGTTACTGACACATTAACCAGTTAGCTGTGTTCGACGAGTATACTCGTCATGGAGAAATGGCAACATTTTGTGACACGACGAGTATACTCGTCGTGCGTAAGAAGTAGCGACCGTTGGCTATTTAAATTGTAATTTTAAGGAAAACAAAAACATGTTCTCAAATTTCAAGATGTTCAGAATATTTTGAGGCCAATCCTGCACGAAGTTGTTTACGTTGTTATGTGGCGTCGCATCGCTCGCCACTGCTCACCCGCTACCTGAGCGCGGAGGCTAGCAAAGTAAAACATCTGTCTTCCTAGTCCTCTAGCGGGTCCCGGACGAAACGTTTCCCCCTCTCTTCCCTGTCTCCCTAACATGACGTCATATAACCGCCAAATTAGTATTTCGTACTTGTACTCCGATTGCAAGTATAAATTCCATTGTAATTTAAGTGAATGGAGAGCTGAATTAATTCGATTACTTTCTAATTATAATTCCTTGAGTAATTCAATTGTAAATTTGCACAACTTTGTATATTGAACATAGTGATGTCATTTTTATTAGATATTTTGCATACTCATTGACCGACAATACTGAATATTTTATAGCAGGTATAATTATTCCGTAAACACAATGTTTATCTTATTCCACCAAAAAAGAAGTACTATCCACGGCCGTTGTAACAGTTGAATAAAATTGCCTGTTTATATATTTCTTTTGTTTTAGAACGTTGCTTAACTCATTTTAGTTTTCATTCTAGTAATACTAAAAGCAGAATAAATATCGCACGTTCTCATTTACCACGAACCGCCAAAGTTATAACAATAAAATTAGAAAAGAATCACGGTATTGGTGTTCGACGTACAAAGCGCCATTATATATTGTTCCTTGCTTTGCTAAATACCGTTCTCTCTACAGCAGCAATTTGAATTTTTAACTTTTATAAGTATTCCATTATCCCTGGGTTTTTCGTTTATTATGTATATGGTATACGTTAACGTCGAGCGAATAAGTAAATATTAGTAATAAGATTGTTAATTTTATCAAATAAAACCGTCTTTCTGACCCAATATTTTAACAGGGACGCTTACATCGTGTTCGACGAGTATACTCGTCGTCGCTTGATTCTCGCGACACATATAGGTGCGCG